GCCTTGTCTGGCCCGTCTGGCTTTTGTTGGTTGCTGTGTTGTCGTCGCTTTGGAAATCTGTGTTTATTTGCCACGCTCTCTTTCACTCACTCACACGAAAAGACAAACACTGAGGGAAAAAGTGCCATCTGCACACAAGAAATCCATTCTTGAAGGCTAAACCCAATTGCAAGTAAATTCCAAAACTACCACAAAAAAATATTACCATTGATAGCCAGTGGTTTATCGTTAAAGGCTTTTATCACACTTACTTGATATACAATGATCCCCTTTTGTTAAAGAATGGTTTAAATAAATTAGAGTACGAAACAGTTTTATTTCGATGTTGGCAAAGTTATTTATTATTTCTGAGCTAAAAATTATAATTTTCTCAGTGATCCCAAATATGAATATTACTTTGGTTTGACTTCATTTTGTAACTTCTTCCGGTTTTATAAGCCTTGTATAAAACCGGAGTTTTTCGTGAAAGTGAATTTATTTTCAAAAGACTTATGTTGAGAAAATAATTGTGAACAGAAACCTAATTTTGTTCATACGGTATATTGTTTTTGTTTCGTTCTAAACATAAATAGTCTACTCTTTAGAAACTTTATCAGATTTGTATTTACTTATATTAAATAGAAACTTGTGGATTTAGCGATCTTGAACCTAATTGAGAATGTTAAGGTTTTTCTCAGTGATAATACCGCAGACAGGGAGAGTCAGGCGGCCAGACACGCTCTGTAAAGTCATTAACTGATGCTGATTTGATTACAATTGTGCGCCTTTACTCTCTGTTTATCACCCTGGTTTTTGTTTATTTGAGTAGTGCAATGGCTGTGGCTGTGGCTGTGGCAAACCGAAAAGTCTGGGACATATCAATTGCGGGCGACTTCCCATATCAATCAGTGGCGCGGAATGGAGTATCCAAGGGCTAATCAAAACATAATCCAGGCAAAGCCCGATAACGCCCGTCCCCACTCGAGTGGCACTCCGCCTTACATCCCCCATAAGTACACCTGGCCATATCAATCAAAATATATAGTGCAGACCCCGTGAAAGAGAGGGCTACAGTGGCAGAGGGAGAAGGGAAGAGCGGGTTTTCTTGGCTTTTGTTCATTATGCATGCTTGTATTTATGTATGAACTTATTTGCTTAATATTGTTTGGCTGTGGCTCGCTTTTGTTTTGCTTGCGTAGCTGAAAAAGCATGTGATCCCAGCGAGTGCCCCACCTCCATCCCCGCTTGCCCTGCCTGCCCGCACAGAAATAATGAAAATAAAAGCTAAAGCAAAAATATCAGAATAAACAACGCTGGCTGGCTGACTGGCTGGCTGCCTCTTTGAGCGATAAGTCAACTTAGCGGCCTTTCGATAATTGTTTTCGCGCTGATCTCTCCCGTACTCGACTTGGCCAGGTCAGCAGCCCAGGGGCTGCCTTGTACTTTCTGGCTTCTGACTTTTTGGCCCCATATGCGCACGTAGTCATAGTGCCCCAGTGATCAGGGCTGCTGACAAAGTCCATTTAGTCAAACGTACGTGGTGCACCCTACATAGGAAATAGCGGGGCATATAGATTGTTTCAAACGCATACAACTTTTTTTGCTCAACAAATCTTTCTTGTTCAAAATTTCTTTCTTGTTCAAAAGCACTAGGTAGAAACCCGCCCCTATATATTTATTTTAATAATCTCAGCAAAAATAAAAACCTAGGAAAGATAAGTACAAATTAAAAATAACCAAAGACTTAACATTTTTTGATAAAGAAACATATGGGGCAGTACCATACTAATTTTTAAATTAATTTCATTTAAGATTTAAATTTTGAAGAATTTCAACTGTCAGTGTTTAAAAACCCCCTAACTATTTGAAATGTGTTGTTTTTTAAGTTTTCCATCCATAATGTTAACAAAGGTATTAACAGATTTCATGAAAAATACCAATTAAAAAATCATTTTGGATTCCCTAGGGCATTTAACCTTCGACAAAAAAGCGCTGAAGAATGATTTTAATGTTATTAAATTTTGGCCATATGTCTTTCAACTAATCCATCAAATAATCATTCATCGTTGTCTCTTGACTTTTGCCCAAATAATTGTTTTCCCTTTCTCTTTCTGATGTTTTTTGTTGTTGTTGTTGAAAAATTTTAAACAACATATTAACACATCAGTCTATGACAAGCAACAAATGGTGGCCACATGATGCTCGTCCGTCCGACTTTTGAGTTCCACTTGCGGTTCGGTTATGCTTCGGATATGTTCGGTTTTTCCGCGCAGCTGGACGAACGAATGGACGGATGGATGGATCCGACAAATCATGTGAGCGGCGCTCCAATTTGGATGCCCCATGTCGCGGCCCCGAAGTCGCCTCGTTGAGGATCGTTGCTTGTATTATCTGCATGAGTGTTTCAGCGTACTGCCCTCGTCTATATGTACCTATATCGATTGGTCAGGCAGTCAGGCAGGCAGTCAGGCAGGCCTTATTATAATGCATATGCGAGTGAGCTCGCCGCTCCGCTCGTCTCGCTCTGACGAGTGGGCACGGGACCTGGGCTTTTCAGTCCCCGTTGCCGTTCCCGCTCCCGTTCCCAGTTCCACAGTCCCCAGTTCTCGGGTTCCCAGTGCGATCGCGAGCGCCTTGAACTTCATTTGCTGACTAGCATCGCGGCTATAAAGATATCGACGCGTCGGCGGTTCGCGATAATCGGGGGTCTAACGGTAAATGTTACAGTTCAACTTCTCTAACTCCAGATGGATAAAATAAAAAAAAAAAATTAAAAAATCAATACTCTTAGCTTAACTTGTAATACTCAAGAATAGAAAATTATGGAATAAAATAATGACATGATCTACAAATGCCAAATTAAAATTACTGTTTTGGATAACTTTTACATTTTTGCAGCTCTATTATTTTTCCAATGAAAAATTAAAAAAAGAAATAAAAATAATACAAGTTACCCATTAAACACATTGTTTATTACTTAAAATCCACGTCAAAAAATAAATAAATAGAGTAGTAGTATTTCTGCCGTAACACTTTCGTGACTTTTTTGTTAATACATAAAGAAGTTGTTTACATTTTTATTTGCAACTAAATCGCAAATAAATAGTGAGCTTTAAATTGGTTATCAATTTGGTCTTGATGTGGAGAGCTTCAGAAATAAATATTTATTTAATACTTATTGTGATGTATTCGTTTTTTTTTTTTAAAGCAAATCGAGCTTCAATATAAATAAAGAAAAGAAATTGCTTTCTGGCATTTTGGTTTTTAATGTGTTATATTTACTTTTTATTCTTAATACCAAAATTAAATTTCATATGTAAAATTATTCATAGATAAATATTGAAAAGACTTAGGAAATTGTTTCTCTTTGTAAGTTTGATTACAATTATAGGTTTTGTCATCCAAAATATTTTCTGTTGTGAAATTATAGATAGGCAAGGTCGAGTTAGAGAAGTAAAACCGTAACTGAGGAAATTTCCGGCCAGACAGTTGGCGCTATTACGAAGCTGCAAGAGGAATTACACTTTGTCGCATGCATACGCCGCCCTTTAAATCCAAGTAAGCACGGCCAATAAATTGGCCTCGATCCGGGAAAGCCGGACACCGGACAGCCGAGGACAACAAAGGGGCCGACGGTCAAGTCCGGCTGGTTGGTCGGGCCCACTATATATCCGCTATATCTATATCAGTAGGCCCTCGTGACCGAGCGACCGGCCAAAAACCGAAAACACCTTCGTAATCGCTGTGCGTGCGGGCTCCCCCCTTCTTATCGCTGGGCTGTAAAACATTTATTAAGCTCTAAAACTAGTTCGCCCACTCACACTCCACCACCCCCTGCCATTTAACCCAACCCCACCCCCAGAAACGGCAAACGCCTATCATCAGTTTGGGCTAATTGTTAATTATAGCGCTAATTTCAGTAAAGGCGCCTTCTCAAAGTTAGCGCTACTTAGACAAGCCATTTATAAAGCCACTAAAAATAAATTAGCTCAAATCTGTTATACGAGCTTTAAATCGAGTGCAGGGGGCTGCTGATTTGTCTGGCAGGTGGATTGGATTTCAAATTGGTTTATCGAAGGCGGGGGAAGCGAAATATCATTAGCGTTGACGGGATCGATCAACAAATAATTGATCAAAATAAATTGACATATTTCACAAGGTATTTTTTGTATTTACACAGCTGTTTAATCATTTCTAAGGAAGAATAAACTGGAATTTAGATTTGGTCCAGAAACCTTTTTTTTGAAGATCCGCTACTGTTCATTCAGAAATTAAACAAGATTGCTTGTATGATATATAGCTATTCAGATCAACCAATTATAGAATTTCCGAAAATAAATTGGCTTAATTTAACATTCGAATTTAGCCGTCATGTGACTAGTGACACCTTCACTCCCCCAATTTCCGAGGGTTCAAAGTTCAGCGGCCATATCCTCGACATTCTGGTACTGGGGTGTACAAGATTTGTCGCCACTACTCAACGTCCCCGATCGTATGAAGGCATGAGTAATCGTCACGTGCCAACTGAGGGGTCGCTATATATAGAGCATAGCATTTGCCATTTTATCGACGACAATGAACAGCACAGAATAAGAGAGCTGCTCGAGATGTGCGCATTATAATGAACCTCGTCTGCTCTGGGAAACTGTGGGAGGCATTTTGACGACCTTCGACCAATTTCAGACGGTGTCGAATGGCACTGAATGGGTGGGGAATGTTTACCCAAGACCGGAAAATAAATTAAAATATATATAGAGATGTATGACATTAGAAGTCGAGATTTTATTACCGGAGTTAATGACAAAAAAACAAATGTTGTAATACTGTGAACAATATTTTAAAATAATTATACAATGACAGTTGTTATTATTTAGAGCAAGAAATGCTGTTAATACTATAAAAATGCCATCCGAAAATAAACATACACTTAATTTTGTCAAAGCTTTATTTTTAATTATTACTTTTTAATGTTTTCATGTTTTAATTTTAGTAACCTTTTTCTTATGTTCCTCTTTTTGCAGTCGATTCCCCTTCGAGGGCAGCCAAGTGCGAATTCTGCTCTACAAAGAGGATGACAGTCGGCGACTGCTCTTCGACTCGAATGCCCTGCAAAAGGTGACGCACAGGGACACATCGGCCACATCCACATCCATATCCTCCTCATCATCCTCTACGAGTGGCGGTGGAAAGTTCCTCAAAAATGAAAAGTACACGTCCCTCCAGAACGGCAAAATCCAGGCCAAGGCACATTCCACCAATGGCAGCAACTTCATCGAGGTGTGCGCGGAGTATGGCTATAAGGTGAGTCATCTACCTTATATTTTATTTGCTCTTGTGGGGGTTTTTTATTCTTAAAATTATTGTATATCAGGAGGGATCTAATTTAATTTATTTACTGATGAAATCATCGATTTTTAAACTGCTTTTATAAGCATTTAAAAATTTTAGGCTGGATCATAAAAAACAGATTACCAGATAAAGAGATGTATTAAGAAGTAGGGCCCTAAATATTAATGCTTAATATCGAACTTTTAAGTTTCCTTTTAATAAGGAAAAGTTAAACATTTTAAATAGGTATTATATCAAACTGGCATACTTAGTCTTGAAGTAGTTTACATATATCCTTTTATTTAACTTAATGTTTTAATATATTACAGCACAATCGACCGTCTGGAGCGGACATCACACCGCTGGGCGAGATGGTGTTTGGCTCGCTGCCGATGTCCTTTTGCGGAACGGCTCTCAAAGTGCACTGGCTGCCGGAACCGGCCAGGATCCTGTGCTCCCAGGTGTATTTGACGCCGACCAATAATGGAGGATCCGGATCGGGCCACTCGCCCTACTCCACGCTCTCTACGAACAGCCTGGCGACGCCGCGCAGCTCGATTTGCAGCGAACACGGCTCCATGGACGGCCTCTCGATGAACTCGTTCTCGATGCCGTTCAGCGTGAGCGTGGGCCGCCAGATGAGCCTGACGCCACCGCTGGATGTGCCGGCGGCGGCAGCGGCGCCGGCCGATCAGCAGTCACTGTCCGTACAGTCGATCGACTCGAGCGGACCGCGCTTCTCCTCCACGTACAGCACGGCCACGGATTCGGGCTACTCGGCCAGTGGGAGTGGCAGTGCGAATGGCGGCGATCAGTGGTCCTATCAGTACTCATCCACGCGCAGCAGCTTGGGCAGCGTCCTCTCCGACCAGTCGGATGCGATGCGGAAGCTGAGCATGGACTCGACCTGCTACACGGGATCCTCTCCCTACCTGGACGGATTTGCCAGCGATGGCTGTTTGCAGCGAAGAATCTCACGCAATTTGCGCACCTCCTTCGAGAACGAGCATTCCAAGAACGATTTTATCGGCTTCCTCAGCGACAACTACGCTGTGGTGGCCTCAGCAGGAGGAGCAGGCGGTGGAGGCGGAGGAGCAGGTGGTGGTGGTGGTGGCAGTGAGGGCGGAGGAATGGCTCCACCGCAGTACAGGAGGGCCAGCTACTGTGCGAACGAGTCGCGCAGCAATCCGGAAATGGGCCGGAGGCAGGCCAACCTGCGGCGTCGGGCGAAACTGGGACTGGCCGTGTGCATCTCAATGAGCGAGTCCTTCGAGGAGGAGATGGAGCTGTTCTGCAGCGAGCATATCGCCCTGCTGGAATCTATGCTTAGTCGACTGAGAGCCAGCACGGAGCACGCTTACATCAACCATAAGAATTTTCTGCAGGTTAGAATAACAGATATATATATATGCATATGATTGTGTCTCTATTAATCAGTGGTTTTTGTTTAAATCCCCCAGATCATGTTCCAGGCCTGGCAGGATGCGCAGCAATGGTTTAGCGATCTCTTCACCGCCCCGCGCATCAAGACGCCCGTCTGGCTGAGCATCACCACCAGCGGCAGCAAGTACTCCAAGAATGTGGCCGAGAGATTCATCAAGGAGCTGTGCGACCTCCTCTCCTTCGCCGACACCAAGGACTCCAATTTGTAAGTTAACCACCTTTCAATGCAATAATAAATATAATTAACAATGCTTTGTCCTTTGCAGCTTCATCAGCACCATGCTGACGGGGATTCTCACTCACCACCTGGGCTGGGTGGCCACCGTGTCGGCCTTTAACAGCGCCGGCTCCCGGCGATCGGAGTCCTCCGCCTCGGCGGCGGCCATTGAACAGCGCGCCAAGCTGCTCCAAGTGGCCCAAAAGCATCCGTACAATGCGCTGTGGGCGCAGCTGGGCGACCTCTACGGAGCCATCGGTATGCCGCCCAAGCTGGCGCGCACCATTGTCTGTGGAGCCGAGAAGCTCTGGGTGGAGAAGCTGCTCAACGTGCTCACCTACTTCATCCGCTGCAGCGAGGTGCGGCGAGCGGCCAAGCGGGAGGATTTCAACAAGCAGCTCATCAACGACTTGGTGGCCCAGAGCCACCACACCCAAAGTCAGGCGAGTAACCAGGAGAGGCACAAGAGTCCACCGGCGCAGATGCGCGGACTGAGCAGGACGGCCACCTGCAAGCAGAATCTGAATGCCATTGCCGACGATGCGGATGACGAGAATGGCGAACTGAATGGCTATGGTGGGGCGAACGAGGATGGGGAGCAGACGGGGATGGGGATGGACTCCGGGTCGCTGGACGCCAGCGATGGCATGCAGACGCTGAAGAAGAACGAGATACCCACGGTGTTGGCCTTCCGGGACTCGCACTTTGTGCAGCAGGAGCTGCGTATCGGCAACTATCTGATGGACACGGGCATTGACAAGAAGACGCTGCTGGCGCGACAGGCGCAGAAGTACTTTCGCACTGGCAAGGACGGCCGGATCCGTTTAACAGTGACCACGCCGGACAACGTGGAGCTGTGCATGGAGGAGGAACAGTCGAGCGGCACTGGCTCAGTGAGCACTGGCTCCGTGGACGATGGTGCCATCGAGGCCATCGAATATGACGACAGCGTGGAGGCGCCGCCGAAGAAGAACTTCTTTTGGAACATGGTGCCGGTGGCGGGTGTGAAGGAGGGACTGAGTCTCAGCGACCTGGCCAAGTTGCAGCAGGGTATCCGGATCATCAATCGCAAGCTGGAGCGCCGGAGCAGCAGCTACTCCGTGGAGGGTAATCCCGACCAGCAGCAGGGCAAGACGGGCGGAGCAGGTGACTTCGAGCCCCTCAGCCACGAGAGACGCGCCTCGCATTTGTCGCTCTCCGATCTGATCACGCAAAACAGCATGGGTAAGAGCGATCGCATGACCTGGGGCATTGAGCCCATCAAGGAGAACGTGAGTTTGGAGGAGCAGATCCACTTTGATCACTGCCACAAGCTGATCGAGCGCGAGCACGGCATCTGCCGTCAAACATCGGCCGATAATGGCAACGGTGTGGTCTTTGTCCTCGGCGACAATGAGCCGCTGATCAACCTGAAGAAGAGCAACGAGGATCTGAGCGGAGATAACGATGCCAAGCCCACCTTGGCGCTGTGTGCGCAGCATCAGCGCACCCACGACCGGAGTAAGCACTCGGGCATGAAGTTCAACTTCGAGCAGTATCCGCAGATAGCCACCAACTACATGAAGAGCAAGAACCTGCTGATGTCCAACTACGATCTGCTGATGGACAAGGCCACCAAGCTGGAGGCCAGCGAGGCAGCTGCCCTCAAGGGCAGCGATAGCACGGCCACGCTGGCGGCCAGCAGTAGCTCCACGGCCGCCCTGCCTCCGCCCGCCACTCCGGTGGCTGCGAATAGCGAACGGTGCGTGGTGTGCAGCAGTGGTGTGGCAGTGAACGCCTCAGCCACCTGGAACCAGACGCCCTCCAATGCCACCGAGCTGGAGTTTGAGACCGATGAGGTGCACTGCTATAATCAGACTGCCAACGGCAATGGATCCAACTCTAAAGCACTGCAGTCCGTGAACTCGGCTGCCTCCATAGACACCCTCAAGTCGGCAGTTTCCGTTGAGCCACTGAGTCCAGCGAAGCCAACTCCGTTGCAGACCACATATATGCGCAAGCAGCAGCCCAAACGGGTGCCCTCCGGACGCAGTTCCGTCTCCTCGGTGGCCGCCAAGTGTGCGGCGGTCAATGTGACCCAGCAGCTGCTGAAGCTGCCTGTTCCGGGCGTCAAGGAGCTGCCGCAGGACGACGACTCTCCGGGCGATCAGCTGCGGGCCGGCTTCATTCCGTCGCTGCTGCTGAGCGTCAGCGATCACTACGTATCCGACATGGTACTACAGGTGGGTGTTTACTGTTTGCTTGCTTTCGGTTTTATTTAACTGATTGAAAGGTTTAACCAAAAAAGCTTATTTGATTGTCAATCGATTCTTGATACATTTTCTATTTTATTCTAGGGCACTTGTGCACCGCCAAATAAATGGGAAATGCATCTGCGCGAGGATCTGGCATTGGCAGCGCGTTCCGCTTCACTCATCTCGCAGCCGGCGGAGAACATAGCCATTGTGGCGGACATGGACAAGTGGGATGTACGGCTCATCTCGTCGCAAACGCAGCAGTTTCCCTACGCCGGCGGACAGAGCTCGCCGGTGGGCATGTCCCAACTGGTGTCCAGCATGCTGGAAACCGTCCAGGCCATGCATGCAGGCGGAATACCCGCCTACGAGGTAAATAACTCTGAATTCTTCTTATTTAGTCTTTACTAATTCGTGAAACTTAAATTTAGTGCCTGTCGTTTCTGGAATCAAAGCTGCAGGAAATCTATCTGCAATCGGAAACGTTGGCAGCCTTTCTGCTGGAAACGGATCCGTGCCGACTGAGCGACATCACCAATCCGCTGCAGCTCTCCGAAAACGATGTGCCGCTGCTGCTGTCCATCGCCTATATACACACGCCCAAGATCAGCCGCAAGTGCGGCATCAGCTTCAGGTGACAGGCTGTCTGCGTCTGCTGAGCCTGGACATTGCCAAAAACCGAGCTCTTCTCATGCATCATCCAAAGCGAAACAAGCAAATACTCCAGCGAATTTTATTTTCACTGATTTTGTGATATATTTATACGTGTATGAATCTAGCGCTTTAAAGCAGGGTACGTTAGTGAGCCATAGCTTAGCCTTAGCCCTCGAAACAAACCGATCGGTTCAAGACTTTTATTCATCGAAATTTACCACATCCACTCATCGCGGTCACATGAAGAAGTATTGTAAATTATCCGGGTTAGAATTAGCCGGGCCAGATTGCGTTGGCGATGGCGGTGACGATGATAATGAAGATTCCGACTTAGCAGCGCACTCGAAACGCTCTGCTATCGGATCGATCGATCGCCAAAACATATCTTGCCCCGCCCCACACTTGTATAGTGCTTGATTTAGATTTAATAATTTATGACAACAGTAATGTAATCGTAGAACTAATTGTATAAGTTTACAATACCATAGGGACGGAGTGCAGCTACTAAATTAATATATAATATATTGCATTCGAGAAAACAACTAAAACCACAAATAAAGAAAATCAAAATATGTATATATTTTTGAAGAAAAGAATATACAACAATTTTAAATAAAAAACCAACTTGCTATTCTTATTGAAGAGTTTACAAGACAATGTAATAGCTTTGTTGCTAATTGTTGAAATTATATGGTATACTTTTGGGAGCAACTTTAACTTTTAAAGAAGTCCATTTTTGGTAAAGTGATTTAAACGCATTGGAGATCTCGTTTTAATGTCATCTATGTGTGTCACCTACTGGAAATATTATTTATTTATTATTATGTGAGCAAATTTATTATTTTTTACCAAAAAAAGAAGAAAAATAAAAAATTAATGCTTGAAAAAGAGGGTAATGGCAAACAAATTCTGAAATGTTTATAGAAACAATCCATGTGCCAAGTATTGAAGTGTTTTATTTTCTAACTTTAAGGTCTATTTTCTCAAAACTCTTATTATTTTTTCATTAATATTAGTTTGCGGTGTAATTTAATTTTATAAAGACTTCTAGAATTGTTATTTATATTGTTTACCAAACTGACAATGAGTAATAAGCATCGTTTCTTTTTAAATTTTGTTTTATTTTGCTTGTTTATTAAGAATTCGCTCAAATATACATAGAGGGGGTATACATAAATACAATTACTTGCTATTGCTTACTCGGTACGGAAAGAAGTTATTTTAAGATTCCCGATTCATCAGCATTAACATCGATTTAAATAATTATCACATTTCCTAAAGTGTACGGCTATTTATGGTAGTTCACTTAGAGTTGGTTTCGGACTATGGAGTTTGGCGTTGCTCGCATGCTCAGCGTAATGCTCGACCGCCAGGAGGGCCCAGGAGCTCGGTGACCGGGTCACTTGCCCTTCTGGGACTCCAGGTAGGTGGCCGTGAAGGTGAGCAGGCGGTGCCGCTGCTTCAGGTTGCGGGCCCGGACATGGGCCGAGTTCAGCTCCTCGGTGTAGGCTCCGGGGAACCAGCCGACGGCGCCATCCCGTATCCTTTCGCCCTGGTACCAGCCTGAAGTTCAAGAGAAGGGCATAAGCTACAAGTAGGTATGGGAAAATTGATGGTCACTCACCGTCAGGCAGCTTGCGCGAAACATTGACGACGTCGCCCAGTTCCAGTTGGAGGACGTCCGGCTCCTCGGACTCGTAGCTGTGTTTGGCCACCACCTGAGGACAGTCCCAGGACTCGTAAAGCTTCTCGCCGGGCGTCTCCGCCTCGGGCGGTCGCATGGCCTGCAGCCAGCGCTGTTGATCGGACACCGATGGGCAGGACAAAACCTATAGCATCAAATAGATTAGCGGTCGCTTTTACACTTTACACTTTAGAAGATATTAGGAGCACCCACCAGTTCGACGGTCTTGCGGTCGCTGTTCTCGAGCAGCGTCATCAGGATGAGGTTCTTGTGCACCTGATCCTTGAGGTCCTTGGCGGGCAACTGAGGCAGCGAGTCGCCGGCGGCGAGGGTCAGCATGTTCCTGGGGCAGTAGTCGAAGACGCTGAAGCTGGACTCTCCCCGCCGCTTGCACAGCAGCAGGAGGTCCGAGAAGAGGAAGGCATAGATGCTGACCTTGGTGAGGCGCTTGCCAAAGGTCAGCTTGGCGTCCTCGCCGCGCCACACCAGGTGGGTGAGTTCGCCCCGCTTGACCAGGAAACGCGGCTTGGCGCCCGCCCGCGGCACGCCCACCGGGGCTATGGCCAGCGCCCGAATGCTGGAAGGGAACTCCAGCTGGCGAGCGATCCGCTCCAGCTCGAAGGCCTGCTCCCAACGATTGGCCGCCTCGTTGCACTGGCCAACCAGTTTCTGGACGAGAGCCAGCGTCAGTTTCCAGCCCTCGTACTCCTCGCGATTCAGCGGCGACTCCTTGCTGAACACCGCGTCGATCAGGAGCGGCAGGCGGGTGATCCGCTGCATGGGCAGCATCAGGAACGAGTGCAGGTTAAGGCCGCAGCAGCTGGGACTGGCCTCCAGTCGCTCCAGCTGCTGCTGGAAGGCCAGTGACTCCTTGGACGTTTTCAATCGACGCAGCGTCCTGTCCATCCTGCCCTGGTGCTCGCAAAAGGCCACGTAGACGTGGAAGTGCCGCTCGGCGATCTCGTAAATGCAGCGACTCAGTCCAAGTAGCATAATGTTGTCCTGCCAGCAGGCCTCCAGTTCCGTGAGCAGTCGCTCCGAGCACTCGTGCACGGGCACAATGTAGGAGAAGAGCGCCTTCCGGTCCTTGGCACTCAGCACGGAGGTGTCCATGAAGGCGCTGTGGTTCATGAAGTGCCGTCGCAGCAGGTTCAGCGACTTGAGGTAACTGGCCTCCGACGTGATGATCTCGAACTTGGCCTCCTGCAGACTGCGCTCCCGACTGGTCAAGGTGGCTGGAAGACAAATGGTCAAGAGATTACTTAAATGGAGGATCTCATTTACAAATTAGTTTGATATTAAATTGAAATCAATACACCTTCAGAATTAAAAAAGTAATACATATATTTCGACTTGTAGGCTTATTAATTGTTCATTTTTTGATATTAATTGCTTTTATTTCAGATAAATTTACATACTCGTTTAAAATAATTTTAAACAGATGCAAAGCTTAGCTTAAAAATAAAAATTGACTAAATATAGGGCGGCTAACGTAAGCCAATGTTTGAAAACGGGCCTAAAAATACCCACGATCAATTTAATTACAATAGAAAAACAATATTTCAATAATTTGTTTATATATATAATGGCATCTACTTCGGATTAGGAATTTATTTTTATTTTTTGAACTTATAGGACATACGGAGCATTAAAAAACGTGGTTTCGCGAAAAAGTAGAAGTGCCATAAGTAGGTTTATTGTTTTGCCCGACCTTTTTAATCTACAGAACAAAATAAGATTCCTAAATATATATGTATATCCCACAGAATCTCAAAATTGTTGGGTTTAAGCCTACAGCGTTCATATGATATAGTACTTACGCAGTATGCAAGAGTGTATGACCTCGGGAATCTCGCTCCAAAGGGTTCGCGATGGTCCGTTCTTGGGCTCCACCAGCTGCAGGGCGGTGGGGCGAGTCTTGGCCAGCGGCTCGGGCTTCGCCTTGGCGTGCTGCCCAATCTCCTCGTAGCCATCCGACGATCCATGTGCCTCCAGGTCGCGGGTGATCGACTGGAAGCGGTTGAAAATCACACAAATTATATAGTAAGAAACACTTGCATTGTTGGAGGACGAGGATCCACTCACCTCCAATTTGGCGGCGCTGTACATCTGGTAGAGTGGTTCGTTGGAGAAAAGACTGTGTGGCTCCGAGGACAGCTCATCGCCCAGTCCCGCCTCGTTGCCGGTGGAGACGCCCGAGCTGCCGCTGGAACTGGCCACGGAAATGCCGCTGGTCTGGTAGAGACCCGATTCCGCGTACCAGGAGCTAACGCCTCCATAACCGCTGGGCGTGGGCGTGACCGGTTCGTCGCCCCTGAGCGATCCATTCGCTCCATCCGGCTTGAAAACGCCGCATTCGGCGTACAAGGATGTGGCCTGTCCCGGATTCTGTTCCCGTTCCGGGTCAGTGGGTGATTTGCTGCCGGACATTGGCATTGGTGCTGGCGGCGGCGGCGGCGGAGGAGGTTCGTGGGGCCGTAGTCCGATGGTGGTGCGACGCCTACTGGCCTTCGCCTCCTTCTTCGCCTTGCGCGCCACCGTGGAGAATTTCTGCGACTCCGCCGTGGGCGTGCAGTTCTTCTCGGAGAAGCCCGAGTCCAGTTCCCCGGAGCCGTGAATCTCCGGCTCCAAGGGCAGGGCTGGCAGTGATCCCTCGGGGTCCTCCACGTAGAAGGTGCTCCGTGTGGCCGCCAGCGAGGAGAGCTGCTTGGTATCAAAGCTAGAGCCGACCAGACTCTTGCGCAGCCGGGAACGAAGGCTCTTGCCGTTCTTCTGCTTGGCCCTCAGCACTGGAGGCTGCTCCTGGTGTCCCGTGGAAGCCGGAATCCGTTCCGGTCCGTACTCCGTATTCTCGTAGACCTCCTCCGTTCGTTTGCCGCTCTCCACGTAGAATTGCGTGGACGCCGGGGTATTCTCGTACAGCTTCTGCTGGCTGCCCTTGGGAGATTTCTTGCTTGAGATGAAGTCCCGGAATTTGCGCACAAACTCGTACACCTGGTTTGGCGGAGGAGGAGGTTTCGGCAGGCGATGGTTGCGCATGTCCACGCCGCTGTCGTTGTGCTGTAATTTGATTTGAGAGTAATATATAGGGTAAATCTACTAGATTTGGGTCATTCACTTACGTTTCGTAGACGCTGACTGGGATCACCCTCGCCATGGTCGTCGCTGTCCGTCTCGAAGGAGTCGTAATCGTCCGAGATGACCACGTGCTCGCCCAGCGTATGGGCGGATGCCGAGTGGTTTTTGCTCCGGCGGTGCGAGGCGCGCACCCCACCGCTGCGAACCGCATCCTGGCTGTCCCGCACCAGCTGCGTCGAATGGCGCTTGTTTCCGAGTGGCGACAGTGTCTCGTAATAGTGGTCTGAGTCATCTGTGCGGAAAGAAAAACATAGGCATTTAGTTATTAGTTCCTGTTTAAAATTTTCGAATATACATTTAAAATTCATTTAAAAACAATTTAATTATAAAATTAATTAAATTTTGATACCCATTTTTTGGTACCAGAACGAACCTACGAAAGTGCTCACTGTCATGGTGACCTTTACGGGTTTTTCGCCCCCCTCCCCGTGGGTCGTGACCCGCATGGAGGTCAACAGCTGGGCCCGTTGGTGGGCGTGGCTGCGGCGCTGGCTAATGGCCGCTGCTTCGTTTTGGTAAATGGGCTCGGGAGCGGGTCGCACGGGTTCGGCGGACACGGGTCCGTTGAGATAGACGCTGCTGGAGTTTCCCTGGCAAGTGACTGCTACCTCGCCGGCGGCCCGAGGTCGTCGTTTGCGGGGCAAGGTCACCGGGTCACCGGCGGGATGACCACTGCTGCTCAGACTACTGGAGCAGCTGAGGCGCTGGCCGTTGCTGCGATTCATCGCTGACATCTTGTCACATCTTTGGGGTCAGAAGCCTATCAACGGATGAATGATTCACTTAATTGATCAAACTCCTGCACTCAAAAACTATTGATCAAAATATTGTCTTGAAGAGAAATTCATTTCTAATTTTCGACAATTTTCTAAGAAATAATTGTCTCTATAATGATTATGGTTCTTTTTGAATAGCAAATTTATAAGTTAAATTTAATTTAATTTGTCTGATTTATTTTTGAGTGAGGAATTCTTGCTACTGCTCTAAATCGAAAACATATTATACAAATTGTATTCTCTTGGATCTAATAAATAATTAATATGCACGGGAGTTTTTTAGAAATTAGAAATGTTTTTTTTTTGCATTGGAATTAATCTGTTTTTTTTCGGTGTGGAGCTTCAGATGTGGCATTCCAAACTCTGTTCTTAGGGAAATGCACTCAATTGAAAGCAATTAAAGCTGCTGCAGCAATTGTCTGCCCTTTTTTGATTGACCAATCCAGTCCACTGTCCGATATGCTAATTAAACCGACTTTTCAAGTGTCACAACAATAAAGCTGCTGGCCATATAAAGCGATTGGCATGCAAACCCGTATGTGGCGAGGGCTAAACTAAACTAAAGTAAACTAAACTAAAATAAAAGCAAACACCCAAAGCCAGGGCATGCAAAATAGCGCAAATTATAATGGAATCATGGTTGAATGCAGACAGTCTGTGTGGATACAATGTCGAGTGATTAACAGACATGGCTGAAAAATCAAACACCATGATGTGGCAGGTGCCGTTCGTTCATCAAGTGAGTACTCTGAAAACCATCGAATTTAGCAATTTTCCAACGAATTTTAAGCACTTTTTCGTGGGGTAGAGAACCACTTTGCAGCCAACCCATGTGTGAATTTAGAAAATTCTAACCGGATTCGAGCACAAAGTGCTTAGACTAGATACTATCTGTTCGCATATTACGTATACGTAATAAGTAGACGAAGAGCCAGGCAAGCGCAGCGAATGCCAACCGGTTCGCGAGCGTCAATAAAACCAAGCACCAAGCCAAGCTTTTCAGCCTGAACATGAATATGAGTTTATACAGATATTCGGCTTATGAACATGTACGTTGGCACAGGCGCGGTCGAGATAGTAGCACTTGAATCAACTTTATATTATCAGTGGCTTATCAATAAACATGTTTGCTTGAAAACGTTTTAAAAACGTATACAAGTTTCAAGGAGTAGTAAAATTGTGGTATTTTTATTATATTTGGCGAATATTAAATATTATTCTTTAAGACTACACATTGAAAGAATAATAAATCACTCAAAATATTAGCTAGAGTCAAGTAAAAAATAACAATACAATTTTCCATTTTTTTCAAAACAATTCAAGGAACACTATTTTAGAGTAATATCTTTGTTGGTCGCAACTGTTTGTGACACATACTTTCAACAAAACGAGATACTTTTCGCCGGCGACACTTGTTGCGCGTGGGCCGTTGAAAATATTGGAGTTCTTTTCAAAATAAGGAGCTGCTGAGACTCTGGCCAGCGCCATGATACCAAAGTTACCGGTTTTCGATTATGGCCCACGGTTACGAGTGTGTATTCTCTGGTGAAATTCTGCGAATTTAGGCTTTTGTTGGTGCGTGTAAAGTGAATGTTCAAAATCGTACCGCGACGATGCCTATACGGAAATGGTTTATTTCATTAGCCGTCTCACCGCCTTGGCGTGAGACCCAAACAAAGAAACCGAAGAAAAAGATTGTCTAGCAATGCAATACGTTCGTAAACAAACGAATGTGCAGAAATTGGTACATATGTAACATATAATTGCATATGTGTATACGAAGATGATCTTTTGTTTATTGGAATGCAGCAAGTGCAAGGCCGGCAGTTTGACGATCTCTTGTTGTTTCTATCCGCTCTTCACGCATAAACAATTAGCAATTAACACTGCAATGCAGCTGAAAAAATCCAGTTGATCAACGGATCGAACGGTTGATTGATCGCCTGACGCATTAAGGTTAAGATTATTAAGTGCCAAACGGTGTCATTGTCTTCCACTCGGCTCTTGGTCACGTAGGAAACGGATAATAGCTGATAGGAACGATGATCAGAGTAAGAAAATGTTTTTTATAGAAATGTTTGAATTGCTTCAAACTTTAAATAACTCAATTTCCGTTGGTTATTACTCTCCACTTCATTTTACATATATTTTTGAGCTAAAATGCCACATGCCACATTATACACATCATATGTTGGGTAAATATGTACATACTTCCGCAACTTGCGCATTTTTATGGAAGAGGCCTGTACGACAGCAATTTATTTAATTGAAAATGTTTAATTAATTTTAAGATATTAAGTCATTCTTTGCTAAAGTCAACGAGTGACAAATTGTTAATTTAATACGCATTTAATTGGAAGTCGCGGATGTATTTTATAATTCTAAAGAAAAGAAAAGTTTATGTCAACTTTACACGTACCGAGAAAACAACTAGTCATCTAATAAAAAAAACGCATTTTATTTAGAAATGCTCTAAAAAAACGATAAGTAATTTATATATTTGACACATGATTTATTTTTAAGAAATCATGTAGGTAACTTCATTTGTTAATATTGGTTACACATTTTTGTAAATAAAGTGTAGCACATCGAAGAATAAATTTTATAATCACTTCATTTTTTTTTTTAACATTTCACTTATCGAGAGTGCCCTGTACATCAACTAGTCATCTAATTGAAAAAGTGCATTCAATTTGGAGATTCCCCCATTGAGTGAGATCTTCCTGCATGCGACAAGCTCATAAATTTTCAGAGCTGCGACCGCCTCTGACTTTGGTCTGAATTTCCACGACACTTTCGCCGCGGGCGTTGCGTGTCAGCGCAACGAGCCAAAGTTGAACGTGCCGCGGGTAAAAGTTAAAAGTTAAACTGAGAATTTCCATTTAGCTGGCTGAGCCTAAGCATTGCCGGTTTGCGGGCTTCGGTTTCACCCATGAAACATGAAGCAATTACAAGATATTTTCCAATTGCCAAGTGGAGTTGCGTTCGCTGAACTCAGTTTTTGGGTGAGAGGGGTGCGGCTAAAAGAGATTATTGCATTTTTACGTAAAGTCTTTTTTGTGGGATTATGCGGATAGCACTGAAACAACTTTGGGAATATTTCAATAACCAATTGCTTAAAATTTCCATATAATTTAAATACTTCAGAAAAGTGGAAGTAAAAAATCTTTTTCTTAGGAAAATAAAATAAAAGTTCTCGAGTTAATATGTTATCAAGGAAATATAAAAGAAATTGGGTATCAAATATGGCTCTTATATCCTGACTAGAAGCATTAGTTCTTGTTATAAATGACAAAGTTTATTGGAATTAGCAAGGATAAATATTTCAATTTCTTTTAGAAAATAAAAAATTATTATGAAAAAAAAACACTTATATTTTGCCTGTTTCTTAAAGAGGGTCTCAATTTAGAGCAAATTTTTGCCTCTGTGCATGAGCATGCTCACTGAATTTCGAGTTCGAATTCGCACTCTAGTTCGCATTGCACATTGCACACTGCCTTTTTGCAATAGTTGCCCATTATGACACGTTTTTTAATGCAAAAGTCATCGCCGTGTTTGGTAAATAGCGATTCCTTTGGCCAATAGTTTGTTGAACGGTTATCTGTCGGTTTTTTCCCTTGTTTCGCTTTATGTTTCTTTAAGACTTCTTCAAGGTTGCTTGGGTTGGCTTCAGTTTTATATTTCTAGACTGGTTTTCGTTTTCGCTAAACAATTTCGTCATCGCCCGCTAAGGCAACAACAAAAATATGGCAAGAAAAACAACAAATTAAAGGTGGATGATCACGGGTGGTGGCGGTGTAAGGGCAAAAACAACAATAAAGTCGGCAACGGTTTTAGTTCGTGACGTCTCCAAAAGCAGCAGCAACAACAACAGCACACATAAATAATACAACAAAAACTTGTAATGCAAAACTGCACTAAGCTCTCTCTCTCTATCTGCTTCTTTCTCTTTCTCCCTTTGTCTCTGAGAGCATCGTAAATTTAAGATGCAATTCATGCTTGCATTTGAAACATTTTATTTCTCTCAGTTAAATACTAGAGCAACATTATTAATTATCCACTGGTATTCACATTTATCACACGAATTCTTTCGCGTTTTTATATTCCGGAGACCCGTTTTGTTTAGCGGACCGTCCGTCGGAGTTGAGCGCGTTGGAACGAATGAGAGGCGGAGATGCCAGTGGAGAGCAATAATGCTCCAACATCGGAGGCAATGGAAACAACTGCACACTGCGTCCACTTTATGGGCATTGTACACTGAGAAAAAAAAACGGCTTTGGAAGAGGTAGTCACTGTAACCAAAGTGTTGTTCCAAATGTATCATTTTAAAATACATTTTTTAACAAACATGCTTATATTACTAAATATAAGTAAATATAAAAAAAATATTGGCTTGATTTTTTTAAACCACTTTTCTATTTCGTTGTGAAAAGTTTATCTCACTCATAGCCAGCTTAAATTTGATATAAATCTAAGACGTGACTTTATGCCAACGAGCAAAAAAAAAGGTCTTTAAATGTATTTTTCAACAGATTGCCAATCTGAATCATCATCAGCTCTCTCTAGATTTTGAAAACATAAAATCTAAAAATATGTTACTTATACGACATGTTGGCCTTTTTTTTTTTGGTAGAAGTCCAATGGGTTTAACATTGTGGAGTTTTTTTTAAGTATGCTGTTTATGTTAAAATTGTTTAATTTCGCGAAGTGTGGAAAGGGTGGAACCTGTCGCTCTCTAATTCGCCTCAGTTTTTCTTCACTCTCACTCTCATTTGTAAAAAAAAAGGTGGCTTAATTATCCGCTCTGTTAGCTGCTCGCCTTGTTAACGATTCGGGTTCCGCTTCACATTTGGCATTTTATTTCGGGCAACGGCAACCCAGACGCCGCTTGGGGCAAAGTTTTGACTGGAGAGCACATCATCGAAGGCAAAATGATTAAGTGGCCTTAACTTGTGGCAATTAACCAGTTGATAATTATCGGCTTGGAGCGAATTTTGCAGCTGTGGATGCCAAGTGTGGAAGGTGAAGTTTAGCGCGTACACGAACCACGGACCAAAGCTTAGGTAAGCCGGAATAAAAAGCTTTCATTAAAAGCTCAAGTGCTGGGGAACACCTTCTTTAACATATGCATTGTATTCTACTCTTCAAAAACTTAAGGAACACACAATTTTAAAATATAGTTCAGCTTAACATATTGTTAAAAAAATTTAATTTTTGTAAACTTTACACTTTACATTTACATCCTCTTTAACAGAGCATGAAGATACCGTTAAAATATTAATTGATATCAATTTTGTTGCAATTATAACTGAGTGTATCTTTTTAAAAATAGTCTAAATGGATTACAAATTTAATTTTACATTTTTAGTTAAAAAAACGTTTTTTATACATTGCCAACTGTTTTACATGTTGCTCTGAGTTTTTGAAAAAAAACCTTGCACATTTAAAATGTAAAATGTTAATAAATATATTATTTGTTTTGCGGCAAGAGTTTAAATGGAATTTGACCCGCAACGTGAACCACCCAAGTTTAAAGGCCAGGGTAAAACGCGTTAATTTGTTCTAATCCCACAGTGAGCACTTTTTTTCGTTCCTTAACTTGTAAACTAAGGTCTTACTTAAGCATACTTATTTCTTTTTCCTACTTACCCTCTATGCAGCTTATCGCCTTCTTTTGTTGCAGTCTTTTGTCTCTGATGCGTTTCGACCAATCTGGACTCCGGTTGCGATGCGGCTTAAACCTTTCACGTACACTGAAAATGGATAAGGTCAAAATGATTAAAATAAACCAAACCAAGCCCAATATTTAAATGTCTTAAAATAGGTTTCTTTAAGTACTTCATTATTCCACAAACGATCGATCAAACTAACTCCAAGCAACTGATCTCCTTTGAAGTTCCAACAAGTGACTGGCCTGGGAGTTTCTTGACTCTCAGCATTTCTTGGGCTTCCCTCAAGAGGCCCGCCAATCTTATCGACTGATAACACAAGAAATTGTAGGTCAGCGCTCTAATTAATGGGAGCCCCTTAAAAGTGGGGTGGAAATTGAGCTGACAACTAGTTTCAATCACCCTCCGAGTGTTGCAACTTCAAAATTAACTCTGACAAAATGTGTTCCCTGACAATGCACTAATTAAGTCCTAACGAAAAGTTTTGGGTGTGACAATTGTCTGTGCATCAGAAAAACTATTAAATGACGGCTCTTATGGCTCTCAATTGTTCTAAATCATCTCATTGTTTGCATTCTTGTATAACAATTCAGATAAGCTGCTTGAGTAAATGGCAAAACAAAGCTTATGGCTCACTCATTTATAACGAAAATATATTATATTTATAATACAGCCTTGGTTTTGTATAGCAACGTCATTTATTTGGCTTTCATGACGTGGTAGAACAATATGAGTGGTTTTGCTTCCTTTTAAATGGGATTATACAAATACGAAAATAAAATTGTGACTAAACGTAGAAACGTAGACTTTTCTCTCGATAAGGGACATACTAATTTGTGTAAGTAGAATGTATAAAACACATTATTACTTGTACTTAAGTCTGCTGCATTAGAGAACTCAAAGATAAGGATCTAAAAGCACCTTGATCACCTTGACCTGGTTTTCGGTATAGTTTTGGGGTCAACCACTAGCTAGAAATAAATAACAATTAATATATACCAATGTTGCAACTCAAAATGCACCATTTATTGGAAGCAAACAGCATTTTAGACGGTCGGAACCCCTGCGACTGCCTGTCTTTAATCAGCCGATTAGATAAGACAAAACCAAACAAACTGATAAGCAATCTACGCAGAATTTTCATAACCCAGATTGCTGGATTGTTGCACAGGGAAATAAATAATGAACAATAAAATTGCGATATTCGTACTTTTGCCGTTATTCAAATCAACATGACCTACAGACCTTCGTCTTTTAAACGCTAATTTATTGGAATTTTATGATTATTTTTTTACCTGAAATGTAAGCTTTAATTTGTTTCACTTTTTAGATGTAAGACAATCGAAGATTTCAGCAAATAAAAAAAATTCTGTATTTTAAATTACCAAATTTAATTTAGCTATTTGATTTCAACCGGAAGCCAAAAACTTGGTTAAATGAGAAAAAATCTTGTTTTTAAGATGGTTTGCTAAGGTCTGGGCTTGGTGCTCTTGTCTTTTGTAAATAATTCTTGTTGTATAATTAAAATTAACAAAAAGATAAGTTATTAAAGTAAACAAAAACAAACCAAAGGCCAAACTTACTTTTTTTGTAATTTCTAGTTGGAATTTATCTAATTTTGATTGCTTTGTTTTAAATAATAAAATATGCTTAGTGTACTTACACAATAAACTGGGCCTCGTTGGCCACCGCCTCCAGGTTCGCCTGACCGATCTCGCCATCCGAAATGTCCACCCAGGCGTCGCTGTTGTCGCTGGAGCCCGCTATCGAGGACCGCTTGTCGCCGGGCTTTTCGCCATCCCTGCTACCGGAACTGCTGCCCAACGAGGACCTGCATCCCACACTCGAGCCGCCGTAGACCACACATCCGGTGGCCGCCAGGGAGGACTCGTACAGGCTGTTGGTCTTGTGGTCCGAGGAGATGGTCAAAGTGGAGCCACTGCTCGAGAGCTGGATGCAGTTGCCGGCGGATCCCGCATGAGCCGCATTCTGACCCGTGGCCAATCGCGATTTCCGGAAGTGAGCGATGCTTTCGTAGCAGTTGGAACTCAGCGAGATGGCATCTGTGGTGGGGATGGCTCCTCCTCCCTGGGATGCCTTGCAGTGCATCGACTCGTAGCAGCCCTTGATGGTGTCGTAGATGTTCTCATCCTCCTCGGACTCTTTGGCCTCTGGCTTCGGAGGAGCCGGACGCAAGGGCATGGGTGATTTGTTAAGTACTTTCTTGGGTTTGGGCAGTTCCGGCAACTCATCACGTGTGTTCCGGCCCAAAGTTCCTGTGCCCGCGCCTGTGCCCGCGCCCGAGGGCGTGATGGGTGTGAGGAGCACCTCCTCTTGGGCAAATGACTCGTAGCCGTCGTAGGCCGAAGTGCATGCTTCCTGGGATCCAGCAATGGACTCGTAGCCCTCCAGCCAGTTAGTCGGCTTGGCCTTGGCAATGGCAGCCTCCTCCACCGTTTGGTATATGTCCTCCACGATCTCCGACTTCTTGGCGGATATCTTGAAGAGGCTGGAAGCGGGCGTTTCAGTCTTGGTTTCATCGGTTGCAGGTGTGATGGGTTCGTAGATGGACTCGGGCTCTGGGATCACCGCCTCCCGCTGCAAATCCTGTTCCCTGAGCTGCTTTTTCTCCTCCTCCTCCTCCCTGACCTTCATCAGCTGCTTCTGCTCCATGATCATCTGCTCACCCTCGATGGCATTGACCAGTGTGACATTCACCGCCTGGTTGAGCAGCCGTTGGTTGTTCGAGATCTGCTTGTTGGCCGCCTGGTAGACAAAGGAGCTGTTGGGCAAGATGCGCTGCTCGAAGTCATCATTGGCGGCCAAGAGGAGTTCACTTTCACCATTTTCGGGGGCCGCCTCGTTTAGCGGGTTGAGCACCTTGAGCTTTTGGTCTAGCGCCTCCAGGGCGTCCAGAATTTTGGCATCGGCTTCAATGCAAGGCGAAATCAGCAGGGGCTGGGATGAGTCTGCCAAATCTTCTGCTCGGGGTATAACCACCTTGGGGATGTCCAGCTTGAAGTCTTCTTTTCTGATGGCCTCCTCCTTGGGGACTCTATCAGGGATGATATTATCCTTGGTAGACGATTCCTCATCAATGGACATCTCCTCCCGCGATCTGCCTTTTGTGGGTGAGGGACTTGCTGATTTCCTACCTTTTGCAAAGGTAAACCGCAGCTTCTCGTATATGGAGGCATACTTGTGCTTCCGCTGCTTTTGACGCACTTCCTCCTCGTCTTCTTCCTCCCCCAAGGAAATCGAGTCCAGCTCATCACTGGGTCTGTCGTGACGGTCATTCGTCTGATTCAGTTCTTGTTGATTGCTGGCATTGCTACTAATGCTGGGCAGTGATTCAGTTGGGCTTGACTTTGGTTGCTTAGCTTGCTGTGCGGAAGTAGTCGTAATCGGTGTTTTAAGTTCTTCGCTAACCACCGCCAGTTCGGGTATACCCACACTACCGGCTGGCAGCTTGAGATTTCGTTTGATTCGAGGACCCCGCTGAAGATTGCTGCCCTTCATCAGCTCCAGATGTTTGCGCATCAGCTGCTCGCTTTTCAGCGGAACACTCGGCTTCTCCAGCCTCTCGAACTTCTTGATATTGCGCTGCACAGTGGAGATGCGGTTCTCGTCGGACGTCTGTGATCCCTTGCCCTCGGCTGGCGACTTCTCCACGATCTTGTAGACATGTGTGCCCCGCGACAGCCACACTCCGTTGTTCCGCTTGACCTGCTCCAAGAGCCTCGCATCTTTCTGGATGATTTCGTTGAACTGGTGGGTGAGCTTGGTCACCAAACTGATGCCGCCACTGGTGGAATTGGCATCCATGTTGCTTAGCCTACGCGTGGGATGATGATGCTGATGGTAGGACTTGCCAGCATGGGTTTTAAAGCTATATTTGCGACGTCCACCCGATCGGCCCGTCGATGACGTCACCGTTTGGGCAGTGACGTTGGACGAGGTGGTGGTGGAGTGGGAGGTGGAGTTGGAGGTGGTGTGAAGCGATTCGCTGCTGCCGCCACTTTGGGCGCTCGCCGCGCTGAGACTGAAACCCTCAAGGCGATTAATCTCCCGTTTGGTTCGCAGTTCCACCTCCACCTCCTCCTCGCGCTCCCCCTCCCCAGCTTGCCCCCCGACTTTCACAACCTTATCTCCGCCGACTGATAAGGCTGCCATAGTATACTGTTTGCTTGGGCTGCAATCGCTGTCGTCACGTTTCGCGCGCGTTTCGCTAGCGTTTAAAATCGCCTCGTCGGCGTTGCTTCTTAACTTGGCCTGCATCTTGGCCTGCTCGGCGTTTTTGTACTTGTAGAAGTTGTCCTTTTCCCGCTGCAGTCGCAGCTGCTGCTGGTGCTTTGAATGCTGCGAGTCCTGCAGATTGTGCAGGCTGGCCGCGCGTTTTGCCAGCGATTTTTCCGGCGAGCCGCAATCGCGTGAGTTGTTGAAGGCGTTCACCAGGCAACTGACGCTCTTATTTAACTTCTTTAAAGTGCCCAGCGAGGAGGAGGACGAGGAGTGGCAGTGGGCGTGGTCCTCGCTGGCACTTTTGATGCGCTTGCTCCACAGCAATCGCAGGGTTTGCACACCGCGGAAATCGCGAAATGCCCGCGTTTCGCAGCTGCAATTTTGATTGGGATTCGCTGGAGTGTTCGGATTTTGATTTGGATTTTGATTATATTTATCTCTGCTGGCCTTATCGCACGTCGGCCGATTGTTGTTGTCACTGTCACTATTCACCAGCCAATTGATAATTGTCTTTTTCGCTTTGCGCGGCGTTGTTGCTGCTGCTGTTGTTCGTGTTGCTGTAGCTGTTGGTGTTGCTGCTGCTGGTGCATTGCCATTGAGATCACGGCCAGCGGCTTTGGCAGCCGCATCTAAGACAGGTGACATCGCCATGGCGTTGGCTTGCTCCGATCTTGGCCAGAAAGCGATCACGTTCTCGACTATCCAAGAAGCAGCCGGCCAAGATGTTGCTGCTGCTGCTGCTGCTGCTGATGATGTTGCTGTTGCCCCCGGGCCTGGAACGACAAAAACAGAGAGTGGAAGAGAAAGCTCGTGAAAATCTTGTTCATGCAAATGGTAATTGGGTGCAAGCCATTATTTAAAGGCGTGGTTCATCGCAGTAATTATGGTTGATAAGCTGGTTTGTTGTTGGCAAATGGAATTTTGGGGAGTACCCTATTTCAGACATGGGTTTTTAGTATAAGCAAACAAGAAGAAAGCCAAACAGACGCACAAAATTCACTTGTTAAAATAATAGTAGAAATAAGGTTTAGGAAAATCAATATCCTAGAACAAGTTTTATATATATTTAACATAGTTTCAATTATAATCAGATTTAATTTTATATATACTAAATTATGAATTTAACATTGGCAAAATCTTAAAAAAATATATTTTTAGCTTAAAAGCTTGTTTCCAGTGATTGAATGAAAATATAACTTTATATGTTAAAGTAAATTAAAAGCTTATAGAATTTATTGCATTAGTTAGAAAATATTAAGAATATTTAAGTTGTTGTTGTATTTTTTGAATTAAGAAATCAACTAAACTAGGTGTAGTTGATATTGTAAAAAATATGTCTAAAAATAATATATCTAAGCAAGCCCTTTTAAAAAAAACCCGTTGAATGGCAGTTTTAGCAATCAAAACATTTGTTCTTTTCATTGAGAAATGAACAAAACTATTGCTACCCACAGCGCCGAAGTCTTTGACACAATCGTGTAATCTTTAAAAGTATTTTAAGCCTCTTTTCGACTCTTTGACTCACGTTGCCAGCGCAAATCATGAGTAGCCATTATTTCTTTACAATTTTCAAGGAAGCCGAAAAAAACAAAACTTGGGCAACTTGAGCGAGAAATCAGTGCGGTGTTCAACATTGCGTATGCTTAATACGTTATGAATGCACTGGCTTATCGCCATGCGATCGATGTTGGCTGAGTATATGGCATTGCACAAACTCAGGCCAGGCCACAATATTGTCTTGCCGCCTCTTCGCACCTGACAATTGTTTACCGCCCAACCGCCTTGCCGCCCACCACCCCCCGATTTCACGTGTCTTTTTTTTTTTGTCACACACAAATGCCAATTATAATGAGCGATTACATAAAGTCGAAACAATTTCTTCTGCCTCACATGCGGTGCGGTATCGTAAAATGGCTTTTAAGCTGCTTTTGGTACGTTCGTTAGCCGTTTTCATCTGCGGTCTTCTTCTGCTTCTGCTTCTTTTCCCCTCTCACTTTACACTTCCCTGCGTTTATATATAGGTAGTTGAATATCCATATGTTTTTTCTAGTTGTCACATTGCCTCGCACGCGGCAAGAATAACAAAATTATTTTTTATTTGCCATTGCAAAAAGGTTTTTAAACAAAATATTATATACGAGCGAAAACACACACACACGTACGCACCTCCAATGTAAATAAAAAGCAGATACTGCTGATTACGCAAACGGTTTTGGCCGACAATATATTTTCGTATAACTCGCGTCTAAAGGAAACCGATGGTTAAAAGTGTGTTTACATAAAATGTCTTGTTTATTCAAAATGGAATTTTATTGGCGATTATATGTCAATTGCAAGGCGGAAAGCAAACCGGCCCCCAAAATGGGGAATTCCAAGCGAATCAATGCCAGTTTGCGGCCCAGCGTAACTCTGCAAGTTTTTTTGATTTTTCAATTATTAAATAATGCACACAGCTTTTTTTTTTTTTTAAATACATAACAATTAAAACTATTTTATGAATGAAAAATCTTGAAAATATTTTTTTTATAAATATAAAATGTAAAGGAAAGAATACGTATGCGTAAACGGTTAAATAAGAAATTCTGTTAATTATTTGTTGTATTTAATAAAGTTTTGCCAACCGATCGTACACAAATTCTTATCTGACTAAATAAACAATTGATTAAGTTCTCAGCAAAACAGTTTTTTAATAGTGAATTTCAATCTTGTTATTGTTGGAAAGGGTTCTTTTAAATTTTAAAAGTCGACTGATTATAAAATTTTTAAAGAACAGATAATTTAGCAATCAGTCAAAAAAAGGGGAAACACCATCACATATCTAAACTTCCCCGAATAATTTGGCAGATATTTAACCAATTAGTTAGCGGTGAAAAAAATCTCAAATGAGCCAATAATCTTTTGGCTTTCGGTTTTAGCCGCCACAGAATGATAATTCCAATGCCTTCTATATAGAGTGGACTCTAAGGCCATTCAGGCCGTGAGGCGGTCAACCGCTTTTTAGCCTGGTCAATAAAAATGTTTTGCATATTAAACAGCCCAAAACCAAAAAGGAAAATGTAAACAATTGACAGCGAGACACTTCAACAATATAAAAATCAACCTCATCTCGAGCAGAAGAAAAGACGGAATAATAAAAAAGAAACTTGATGAGCTGCAGTTTTTTAGGCTAAGCTGCAGCTGCACCTGCCATACATTTATTATGAAGATAGATAAATCGTATATATCTGTAGGTATGCAAATGGCTTTCAACGGATGCAGCGTTTTGTTTGATTTCTTTTTGTTTGCTTTGTCACATTGAACTGGCCATAATTTCTGAGGGCGGTCTAAAGATTTTCCCGCTGGGAAACCAAAGGTATTGTCAGTTGGAGTGAAAGTGATAATGACCAGCTGACTTTGAGCCAAGAGTCCGGCGATTTGACACGCGGTTAGCCAACAAATCATCACTTTTACATGCGAATGCGGAAGAAGCTAGCAAATGAAATGAGACAGAAATATTTTAATTTCGAGAAATTAAATCAAAGGAAATTTATTGCCATTTTGCATAGTAAAAAAAGAAACAAAACCAGCCGCCATTAGAAATGTGAAAGTTTACTTTTCCTTTTTGCTTCTCTCTGTTATTTTTTATTTTTTTTATTTTTTTGTTTCAGAGCTAATGAACTATCTTGGTCATTATTTGGAGATGCTGTTGACGGGTGATGAAGTGTTAAAAAAAATTGTGGGATAATTCTGGGCTTACTATGTTGTTACACAATCGTATAGGACTTATCGTTGACCACTTTTACACCATCGCACACTGGACACAAGGACCTAAGACTGTCTGAATACTGTTGACTTGTTCGTAACTAACTAAGTAACCCTTTGTTTTTGTTTTGGCCGCGTTGCCGTGGCAAAATCCAACCACCAAACAGCTCTTGCAGCCCTTAGCCAACTGAAGGGTCTGGCTAGCTGGCTAACAGCGAGCAACCCCTAAACGTTAATACACCACTGCGTATGCTTCATAAGGTAAACAATGCTGATGGGTCGATAGTTTGGGCTTTTGCTCGAAGGGTGGTTCCTATTTATCACTTGTGGCCCTCTTAAATGCATTATTCAAGCCTTGTTGCCTTTCTGGTTGAGTTTAAGTTAAATTTAATTTCCTAAACTGATGCACACAAGCGACACAATTTATCTTATATATAAATATAAATATATACGCTGAACGCCGCTTATCAGCCCACTGATTACAGGCTGAGTCATTGGGTGTAAGCTTATCGAATAGCAAATTGAGGGATTGATTTGATTGACTACATTTGTGAGCATAATGGAGGCAAAAAAGGGAACATGCAAACGAGCATTAACTGCATTCCAAGCTTCGTTGGCTCAGCGCCTAAGAACCGCAACTCTAGACTGAGTCTGCGTTTTGGCCCGGGTCTGAATCTTGGTCTGGGTCTGGCTATAACCGCGTAAGGCACAGAGGCGTATAATTAGCGTGCAGCATTGGCAAAGTGAAGCTAATGGAACCAAACAACACACAGCAACATGGCCACGGAACATGGCTAACCGTAATTCTGAAACCGTAAGCGGAGAATCCGACATGACATGGAAGAAGAGGTCAGTTCGGGGGCCAATTCAGCCGTGTGCGAATGTGTGAAAAACACACCGACAAACTCAATGGAGTTAACAGTTAAGTTATGGAAACTGGAAACTGGCCGAAAAGAATGCGTTAATATACGTTTTCGTTTAATTACCAATTGACAAATTAGATATGCAGCCGAAGAAAATTCGTTAAAACGTGTTAAAACTTATTTCATTCAAGTGTTTCCAGTTAAATTTATTTTGGCTGTTTCCTGATTGAGTTTTTAAGTACGATCCATGGATGTTCTAAATATATGCTAATCAATACTCTAAACTTAAGCAAAAACAAAAAATAACACAAACTAACAGAAATCATAGAGCAAAGAATTTAATGAACATTCCATTTTAATAAAGTGAACAGTTAAATAACATTATTATTTCAGCTAATACATTCCAATCACAACTTTTATACTGAAATCCTTTGCTTTTCAAAAATTACTGTTTTTAGTCTTCTTAAAATTCGAATTAGCTTAACAGTGAAAAACTAAAGAAAGCTAGATACTAATTTCAGTTTAGTTTAATTACCATCAAGAGTCGATTTAACTCGATCTAATCCCAACGGAAATCGAAGTTTAAGTCAAGCGATCGAAGACTTGAAGCCTGTTCTTGGTGAAATTTCGCTTCTACCGATTTGGTATGTATGTATGTGGAATTCGCCAAGTGGTTTGGCTAGATTCTTTCAAGACCACACTAGCACCACGCAGATTTTCTTGTGGGCGTTTCACTTTTGCCAGCTTTCATTTCACTCTGGCCTCAAAAAACTGGCCAACTTGTTGCACTCGATTTTAGCTATTGCACTGCACTCGATTTTGCATATGCCAAATATTGCACATTATCTAAACTATTTATATGGGCAATGCCAGCTGAAAACACAATCAAACACATAAACACGCGCTGAGGAGTGCCGAGAAAAGCAGGTAAACACCGCAGCAACTCCAAACGTCTCCAACGACCGACGACCGCAAAGCAACTGGCGAGTGTTGCTGCTGTCGTCGACGTTGCTGCTGCTGCTGCTGCCGTTGCTTTTGGTGTTGCTGCTGCTGTTGCGACTTTTTGGCGCTGCTGCTGCTGCCGTCGACGTTGCTGTTGCTGCCAGCGCTGTTGATGGCTGCTGTCGATTGCCGTTGACGTCGCAGTCGCAGCTTATGTTGCTGGTGCG